TTTCTCTAGTGAGTTCCTGTAAGATCACTGCTTATTTTTTATAGCTTTTCTTAAGTATGTGTTTTAGGCGTGACATCAGCAGCATGGCGAGTGAGCTCTCCCCTTAGATCGTCCACCTTAAAATACAATGAAAAGGACAATCGTACACCAAGAGGAGGACTGGCAGTAGTTAGCTGAGTGTTAATCTTCAAAAAAACCCCAAAAACGGACATGTCCTGCAATATTCCTAATAAGGTGACAAATGGGAAGCCACCAAGGTGTCTCAGTCAAATGCACACTGCAGACACTCATAAAATTGAATATTGAACTGAGGTGGTTCCATAGCAGTGGTTCTGACCCAGGGGTGATTTTGCCCCTAAGGGGATATTTGGTGACATCTGAGATGTTTTGTCAGGGCTGGGGTGCGGAGGCTGCTGGCATCTCGTAGCTAGAGGCCAGGGATGCTGTTCAATGACCTGCAACATACAGGACAGCTCCCGCCACAAATGACCCAGCCCCAAATGTCAACACTGCCCAGGTTGAGAAACCCTGGTCTCTATAAACTAACATGGAGTTCAGGCACCACGGTGAGTAAAAAAGCCAGGTTACAAAAAGGCACCTACAGGATGATCAGGACTGTGTTCAATCTCACAGTGTGGACAATGGTTTGGTGGTTTGTGAGAGTTTAATATAGGGCCCCAAACCCCAATTTTCAAGGCATTAGACTCTGATGGAGCCCATGAGAAGCTCAGGTAATTGACTCAGCCCCGGCAGGCAGGGAGGGAGGGAAAGTAAGCACACACTCTCCCTGAGGTGGCCCTCTCCCTCGCAGGGTCCCCAGGGGCCCAGCATCCCCGTATCAGAGGCAGAGGCAGTAGGGCCACAGTGTGCAGAGACAGTGGGCAGGGCACAGAGGCAGCATAAGTAGCGGCACTCGGCCTCAGGCAAACCCCCACCCAGCTGGCACGCTCAGGGCGGCAGGCTCAGTGACTTGAGCCCAGCCTTCCTGAACAGCCCTCGCCTGCAGGGAATCGATGAGCCAGGGCTTCCCGATGGGTTCAGGGAGAAGCAGGTGCAGAGCTGGGAGCCCCAGGTGAGTCCCTTCCCTGCCTTCGGCCTGACCAGCAGAGGCCTGGGGAGCCAGCATCAGCTAGAGACTCAGAGGAGCCCCCTTGTTGATGCCACTCCTTGTGCCATTCGAGTCTCTGGGGTGGGGCTGCAGGCAGGGCTCCCGTCCTAGCTTCCCAGCAGTGGGATGACTGCTCTGCAGGCATTACCTTTTCTGGAGCTCTCCTTACCTTACGAGGAAGGTTCACTGCACAAGCGAGAAAACTGAGCTGCCGAGAGAGGGGAGCTGCCCCTCACAGTGACCCAGCGCAGCTGTCTGACTTTTCAGCTCTCTCCCTCTCTGTCCTGGCCAGAAGCCAGCGGGAGAAGGATTGGGGGAAGGCAGGGAAAGAGGGACAAGAGGATTCAGGATGAGAGGCTCCAGCCACCTCTGCAGTATGAAGCATGGGAGGCACCAGGAGGCATAGGTTGGTGATGGGAAGAAGTTAAGGATGAAAATAGGGAGAGAAAGGGAGGGAGGGGTGGCTGAGATGGAGGGAGGGTGCAGAGAGGGGAGCCAAACCACTTCACCAGAGACAGCGGGATGGGGGCAACCAGCTAAGGCCAGATGAGGTCTGAGAGACAAGAGAGGCCTCGTCCGTGGTCTCAGCCAGGGGCATTGCGGCCCCAGAAGACGTTTGACAATGTGTGAGGATACTTCTCATTGTTACGATGGGCGATGCTGCTGGCATCTATGGGTGCCAGGGACGCTGCTCAACGTCCCACAATGCCCAGGACTGCCCCACCACAGAGTGTGATCTGTGACCCTAGTGTCCCTCATGTTGATGGAGGGAAACATAGCCCCAGGGGCCGATGTGGGCAGGACCTGTCCATGGATGGGGTTGGCTCCTGAGTCCCTGGGTGGGGAGCCAGCCCCACCGTGGTTCCTCAAAGGGCTAGATAGCGAGATTGCACTGTCTCTCTCCAGGGCTGGTCCCTTTACTCACAGACGAACCTGCTAGGTGATCCTGGTGGATCAATGCCAGGAGATGGTAGTCTCAATCTCTCCCGTCCTGCTCCCATGCCCACTATGGGTCTATGTCTGTCTGTTTACTTTGAAAAAATGGAGTTAAGAAGGTTGTTAGAGCAGAAAATTGAGCATATAGTGCAGAGAATTCCCGGATATGCTCTCTTTCTCTCTGCCCGCAGTTTCCCCTGTTATTAGTGTCCTGTGTTAGTGTGGTCCCTGCGTTACAGTTGCTGACCCAGAATTGACACATTGTTATTAACTAAAGCCCACAGTTTACATCAGGATTCACTCTTGGTGTTGTACTTCCTATGAGTTTTGATAAATGCACAATGTCACGTATATGCCATTACAGTATCACACAGAACAGTTTCTCCACATTAAAAAGTCCCCTGAGCTCCACCTGTTCATCGCTCCTCATCCCTGAGCCCCTGACAACAAGCAACACATCTGTTTCCAGTCTGCCTGCTTTGCCCTTTCCAGACTAAATGGATGCCCCACTTAGCTGCGTCCTGCGTCCACACCATTCCAGAGGGTGGTACGTGCAGCCCTGGGCCACATCCCCAGGACATGGGGGTCTCTTGCCTTCTCATAGTTCTCCTCCCATTCTTCTTGGTGCCTGTGGATTTCTGTGCTCTTGTTTGTGTGAGGAGGCAGTGTGTGAGTGGAAGAGCATGGTGAAGCTGGCATCTCCATGGTCTGGAAGTGACCTCTCACATTCGTTAACAGCCACCAGCAATGGTGAGTGTAACAGAGAGGTTAGGAAAAGACAGGCCTTGGGGCCAACCAGAGTTAGGTTCAGATCCTGGCTCTCCCACTCCAGACCCATGGTCTCTTGGGCAAGTGATGTGTCTTCTGTGGTTTTCATCTGCCACATCTGCAAATTGGGGGTCATGGCAGGTGCCTCATAGTGATGGGGTAAAGATTTGGTGAGAAATGCTTGAGCACAGGCCTGGTCCACAGCTCACGTCCAATCAAGGGTAGCCATTCCCATCAAGACTCAAAACCCACTGCCAGGTACAGATGAGTCTCCAGGTGACAGGTTATGATGAGGGTCACAACAAAGTTAGGAGGAAGGAGTTTAAACTCACTCGGGAATCCTTCTTTTGGAAGCACGCAGGAATGAGTGTCCAGATATGCTCTCAGAAGAGGGTTTCCAGGAGGGCTGCACAGACGAGGTGACCTTTCAGCTGAGTCTCAAAGATAACCAGGCATTGCCAGGTGGAGAAAGAGGGGAAACAGGATCTGGGCAGAGGGAGCTTCCCCAGGAAATGCAACTGCATTCTCTAGATCATTGGTTCTCCAGGGGTGGATGACTGTCCCCCATGGGGAGAGTGGCAATGTCTGGAGACATTCTTGGTTGTCACGACTGAGCAGGGGCTATTGGTGTGCAGCCGGTGGAGGCCAAGGATGCTGCTCAACATCCTACAGTGCACAGGACAGCTCCCCACAGCAAAGAATGATCCCGACCCAGATGTCACGAGTCCCACGGTTGAGAACCCTTGCGCTAGACATTAGAGAGAAAGGGAAGGCTTGTGAGCACAACCCCACGACCCCCTTTTCAGCCATTCAGCCTCTTCTTGGAGCCTCTGGTTTCCAAGTCCTTGGCTTTGACTTGCCCGCTAAGATCCCTGAGTAGCAGGACTGAGTGGGGCTGTGGGGGCCACTGTTCCGGGGAACTACGGGCAGGTGCTGACTCAGACATGGAGGAAAGATGCGAGTGACTCCAGGGGAGGGAGGCCAGGAAACTCTGGACACCTGTGACATTTGGGGAGGAAAGCCTCCAGGCACCAGTGTGCCTGGTCCCCCTTCGTGTCTCGTTATCAACTGTCAGGGCTCGATCAACAACCTGAGCCCACTGAAGAGGGAATTTGTGACTTTTTTCTTATTTTTGAAATTATGGTAAAATATACCTAACCTAAAACGTACTTACATTAGCCACGTTATAACATACATTTCAGCGGCATTAATTTTATTCACGACGTTGTGCAACCACCATCTCTACTTAGTTCCAGAACTTTCTCATCACCCTTAAAGGAGACCCAATGCCCCTTAGCAGTGACTCCCCATTCTCTCCGTCCCCCAGCCCCTGGCAACCGCTGACATGCTTTAAACAGCTACATGAATGTTCACAGCAGCATTGTTCACAACAGCAAACAGCCGGAAACAGTGCAAACGTGCATCAGCTGAAGCAGGGGTGGACAAGGTGATTCATCAGTGCAGGGGGATATTGTTCAACCAGGAAAAGGGATGAAGTGTGATATGTGGTGCAGCATGTATGAGCTCAGAAAACATCACGTTGAGTGAAAGAAGTCACACACATTAGGACAATATTGTGTGATTCAACTTAGAGGAAACGTCCAGAACAGGCAAATCCATAGAGACAGAAGGAGACTGGTGGTTTACTGCCTTTTAAACTTTATACTACCTAATAAACAAAGTTCATTTAGTAATAGCTATGTGATGGGGCCAGCCCACTGGCAGAGTGACTAAGTTCACCCCTCTGCTTTGGCAGCCCAGAGTTCATGGGTCTGGACCCTGAATGTGGACCCACACACTGCTCATCAGGCCACGCTGTGGCAGCACCCCACATTAGAAATGGAGGAGGATTGGCAAGGATGTTAGCTCAGGGACGATCTTCCTCACCAATAAGAATAAATAAATAAAGTAAAATAGCTGTTATTCATAAAGACGCATCAGAATCTCATCAAATTGAAGGGATGTACCGAGCACAAACCACGTGCATTTGCTCACTTAGTGCACTGATTTAACTATCCTAGGCAGCACCTACGGGGGCCAGATCACATTCCAAGAACAACTCATTTACTTCTCACAACCTCTCCTGGGTAGGTCAGGGGAAATGGAGGTACTGAGAGAGGAAGAAACTCAGTCAAGTTTACGCAGGAGGCAGAGCAGGGATTTGAACTCAGTTGGGGTGACCCCCATGTTCCTCTGTCTGGCGGCTGTGTGGTATCGCATCAGAACACAGAGATGTGCCTCATGGGGGCTCGGAAACAACCAGAATGTTATTTCTAGTCTCCTGCCTCTGATGCCCTGCATGGATGACTCCAGAGGAAGAATCTGGTTGATTCAGATTAAGTTAGAGACGCGCCCTGATCCAAGGAGTCGTATGCGTGGGGCAGGGACGTTTCACAGTGTCTGCAGCTGTGGGACGAAGAGGACTTCTCAGAAGGGAGGAGGAGGGCAGAGCAGCCATGGCTGGAAGCTCCAGGGAAGGAAGATTTTCATTTTTAGAGGCATCCTTGAGAGATGGTGCAAGGTATAGTCTTAGGAGACAGCCCAGCCATGGGTTCAAGTCTTGGCTCTGCCGTTGTGACAGCTCCACCTTGAGTAAGCTGTGTACACTCTCTGCAGCCTAATATTCCTAATGAGTATGCTCAGGATACTGAAAATGCAGGTGATAAAGACAGCACCTTCCTCACTGGGATGATAGAGGAGTAAATCATACGAGGCACTGAATGGGAATCAATCAATGTTAGCAGTCATTTACAAGGAGCACCTGATGACCATTCTCCATCCAGTAGCTGACCTCTCGCTGTCACACCTCACCCCAGGCACAGCCTCCATGCAGGGAGCCAACCTCTCAGCAGTGAGCGAGTTCATCCTTATCAGCTTCTCCACTTTCCCCCACCTCCAGCTGGTGTTCTTCCTGCTGTTCCTCCTGATGTACCTGTTCACGCTGCTGGGGAACCTGCTCATCATGGCCACCATCTGGAGGGAGCGCAGACTCCACACGCCCATGTACCTCTTCCTGTGCACTCTCTCCATCTCCGAGATCCTCTACACCTTCACCATCATCCCACGAATGCTGGCTGACCTGCTCCCCACTGTCCACTCCATCACCTTCACAGCCTGTGCCAGACAGATGTTCTTCTCCTTCACTTTCAGGTTCACCCACTCCTTCCTGCTCACCATAATGGGCTATGACTGCTACGTGGCGATCTGCCACCCTCTGCGCTATAGTGTGCTCATGAGTCCTGGTAGATGTGCCTGCCTTGTGGCCTGGTCCTGGGCTGGTGGCTCAGTCATGGGGATGGTGGTAACAATGGCCATTTTCCACCTCATCTTCTGTGGACCAAATGAGGTTCACCATTTTGCTTGCCACGTGCCACCACTGTTGAAGTTGGCCTGTGGAGCTGATGTACCACGGGTGGCCAAGGGCGTGGGCCTGGTCTGCATCACTGTCCTGCTGGGCTGCTGTCTCCTCATCCTCCTCTCCTATGCCTTCATCGTGTCCACCATCTTGAGGATCCCCTCAGCAGAGGGCCGGCACAAGGCCTTCTCCACATGTGCGTCCCACCTCACTGTGGTGGTCGTGCACTACAGCTTTGCCTCTGTCATCTACCTCAGGTCCCAGAGTCCCCAGTCTCTGGAAGGAGACACCCTGATGGGCGTCACCTACACGGTCCTCACGCCCTTCCTCAGCCCCATCATCTTCAGCCTCAGGAACAAGGAGCTGAAGATCGCCATGAGGAAGACCTTCCTCAGCACACTCTACCCAGAGAAAATGTGATCATCTGGGAGGAATTCCTTGGAAATAGCTAAACTGGATTACCAGATGCTACCATGAGAAATGGCACCCTGTATACACGTAGGAACCTATTTATCTGATGCCTTAAGTTTTAAAAGGAGCCTCGTAGGCGGCATCCAAACGTACCAACATTGGTTAAACAATGTCAGGAGCACATTTGTGGTGAAGAAATGCATGAGATTGTAACACACAGAAAATTAGATTTCATAATTCCTGCCCACTGCGGGACACTTTGTCAGGTAGCATTACACCTGGAACCTGTTCTTCTGCCAGAAACCAGGGTGGTCTGCTTACTCCCACCAGCATAAATCCAGATTGCAAAGAGAATTGGAAGACGCCAGACTCAACCCACTACCAAGTAGCAACAGGTAAATACAACATGGATAGTATAAAGCTACAGAAGACCAAGGCAGGTTATAGCAGAGCAGAGGAAAACACCCTAATTTTCAGCATTGCACAGCTCTGTGCAGTAGCACTTAGAAACAGTATTGAGCAGACTCACAGAAAAAGTTGAGGAAATCCCTACATTTCAAGTGTGAATTTTGAGCTGTGGTGGAGAGTAAGAGAAGTCTCTACAGTTCAAGAAAAAGTCCCACCACAAGAAGTTGCCGGCTGTGTTACAGAGTTACGGGTCACACTGACCGGGGAGGAATGCTGTGTTGAGGCCCAACAGTGAGAGCAGAGCCCAGGATGAAGGTGTGTGCCGTGGTCACACAGCCTCAATGCTCTTCCGTTTCTCCACAAGGGGGGACTTGAGGTTGAGTGCACTGAATAGTGTTTATAATTCATTGAAAGTGTGTGTATTTAGGGGAAAGACAGCTACTGCATGATGTCACCTATGTCTAAACAACCCGCCTCATAAAAGTAAAGTAGAATGGTGCCACCAGGCATGGGGGGTGGGAGAACCGGGGAAATGCTGTTTAAAGGGACAGATTTGCAACCAGCAGACAAACAAGCCCAGGACATCGAACGCACAGCACGGTGATTGCAGACAGCAATACTGTATCATAAATCTCAAAGTTGTTAAGAGACTGGATCCTAGTTGTGCCCACCACGAAAAAGAAAAGACAATAAGGAGACGTGGTAGAGGCGCTAGCCGGTGCTACAGCAGTAATCACATTGCAGCATATAAATGAATTCAATCAGCATATTGTACACCTTGAACTCACAAAGCGTTAAATGTCGCATGTTTCAATTAAAAAGAGGTTTCCCTGACAAATTTGTTTCTGAATATGAATATATGCACTTATTTTAGATGAGGAATTTGTAATAACACTTAATGGACACCAGTTTATGGTGATACTGTTGTACTCAACAACAGATGTAATTAACATGCACAAGCAATAAATAAATGTCAAAGTTAACAAAATAGAAAATACGTGTATTCTGTTGAAGTTGAATAGTAAACTACACATTGTTTGTCCTAAAGTTGATTCAGTCTTTCTCTACGACTTGAGCAGTACAAACATCGCATGTCAAGATGAAGTGGTAGGACGTCGGAAACAATTTCAGTCAAGACTGGGAACCCAGAGCACCGTCCTTGCAGAATACATGATGTACTGCATTTTCGTTACGTCATCGTCTCACTACAGCCTCACATCATCTCATCGCATCATCTCATTACAGCCTCACAACAGGGCATAAGGGCAGGTAAACTCACGTCCACCCCATTTGACAGAGGGGAAGCTGGGGAAACGGTTGCATGACTCATCCAAGACCAGGCAGCTTAGCAGAGCCAGGCTTCCAATGAAGGTGTTTACTGAACCCCAGTCCTCCCCACCCACTGTTTCACACATGGTCTTCCTTTAGTGGGTTTTGTGGATCTGCCATCCGGGGAGTCTAGCCCATCCTCAAATCAAACAACCTGGCAACCTAAGAGTCTTTCATACCACAGGTGGGCAATTGCAACCTGCCATGCCCTGGAGCATGCATCCTTGGGAGGCTGGTGGAGTATGTCTACAGATTGAGGACTGCTGCATGATTTTAAATTCAGCTTTGGTCTTGCAGGAGTTCCTGCGGAACGCTTTCACACTGATCCAAGATGCTCCTCTCTCTGGCAGCAAAGCCAATCGAGACAAGAATATAAGCTGGTCCTTCATTTTCTTCATTAAAGGACAGTTTGGCCTTGGATCCTTCTGGGATCCAAATGGAAAGAGAACCTGGAAGGTGGTGTGTACCCACAATGAGCTGGGCCCCCAATGTCTTATGCTAACTTATTGTGGTCCCTCAGGCCATCAGCCTCCTGAGGTCAGGAAGTGTGTCTGTGTTGCTCACCATCCGACCCAGCACCAACATGGTACTTGGAAGATACAACTGATTAACAAATGTTTCTTGGCTGGACCAGTGTAATCCTCACAATGCAGCAAACCAGTGGGAAACGGGGTTCAGGGAGCTATGTTTGAGGTCAGAGTGACCTGGGTTTAAATCCTGCTTCCCTTTTCTCACTTAATTAGATCGACACTTAGAGATATATTCCACATCTGTGTCAATAAAAGGATGTTCAGAGCAGGGACATTTTTGATTGGAAAGCATTTCATATATGCGTTGATAAAGGCCTCTTAAGCAAATGTGGGTTCATTTGTACAGTGGAACCCAAGGCATCCAGTAAAACCATTCAACCCTTGGACTTCATCAGCGTCCCTCTCTCCCTGGGGATCCCATGCTGTATGGTGGCCTCATGAACCTCTGCACACAGCTGATCCCCAAATTGTTATCTTTATCCCCATAAAGCTGGCTACTCAACATCTCTGCATAGGGATGTGGTAGGCATCTCAAATTTAATGTGCCCAGAACCAGCTTTTGGACATTCTCTTTGTTGTTATCGTGCTCTCTCTCTCCCTCCCTCCCTCCTTCTCCCTTTCTCTCTCTCTTTCCCCTCCCTCTCTCCCCTCTCTTCCTCCACCCCGCCCTCATAGCCTCCTTCTCTCTCCTCTCTCTTTCCTCCTCCTTCTCCCCCTCCTCCTCACCCTTCTCCTACTCTTCCTCCCAGTCTCTCTCTCCCTCTCCCTCACACACACACACACACGCACACGCACACGCACACTCCTTACTCCCACAGTCTTTCCTATCTGAGAAAATAGCAACCCAATCTGAGTTCCTTGGAGGCACTTCTGCTCAAGAAGCAGAGAGCCCTTCTCTAACCATAGCAAACAAAATAGAAACTCCCCTGGCCATGTCCCTTCTCTCTTGATCTGCTTTATTTGTCTCTCATGTGCTTCTCACCACCTCGTGTAAATCTGCTGATCAGATATTGTCTGTCTCTGCCTTAGACTGCGGCTTTGAGGAAGTCAGGGACTCAGAACATTTTGTCCACTGCTGTGTGCCTCCGTGGCATATGGTAGGCTCTCAAATATTTATTAAAAAAATTAATTTGGAAGAATGAGGATAATTGAAACTAATCATGAGGTACAATTTTTATTCATCCAATTGGATGGACAAAAAAATTTCAGTTTTGTTAACACTCTTGCAGCTACTGTGGGGAAACTTGCTCTTTCCTATGTTACGGAGTGTCCTCAGGCAGGTCACTTGCCCTCTCTGAGCCTACCCTGTAAGAAAGCAAAAGAACCTCCCTTCTAAGACAATCATGAGACTGAAGCAAGCCAGCACTTGAGAAGGGCATATCACAGTGCCTGGCATGTGCACATCCTGAGTAAACAGTAGTTAGGGTGATATTATAATTTCGAGTTTGGCTGGATGAGGGTGGGATCAGAGGGAGAGGCGTGCGTTGGAAATGACCAACTGGAGTCACAGATTTGATGTGTCTGTCTGGGTTATCAGCGAGGTCGAAGGTGCGGGGCCTCAGTGGAGATGGTGGTGGACCAGCAGTGGGTGCCGTTGGGAGAGGTGCTACTCCAGTGAGCTTCCTGACCTGCCCCTCGTCTCCCAGAATTCCCCTCCCCAGGAACAGTCTCCTCTCTGGCTCCTAGCATCCGTGAATGGTCTGCGTGACTCATCGCCATGGTGACAGCTGATTGGGAGGGAGCCAGGTGAGAACTTGCTCTCTCGGGAGACAGAGAGATGCTCTGACCTGCAGGTAGGGCTGTGTAGTGGTTAAGTGATGAAGCAGCGTGCTCGGTTAAATCACATCCCATCTCCTAGCCTCAGTTTCCCATTATTAAAATGAGTTTAATAATAATGTGGCCGCTTGTAGGATGGTTCTGGTAGTTAAATAACATCATCTGTGTAGGGAAATTGACAGTGACTGGCACACAGTAAGCATTCATTAAACGCCAGCTTTTTAAGGTCGACTTAACAAGTACTTGTGCCGTCTGTACCTCAAATCCTGTGGTAGTTTTGGGAGTGCAGAGAGGGCCCACTGCTGTTCCCGGCCTTGGAAGCGTTTCCATGGTGCTTGCTGGGCTGACACACAGAGAAACACCAGGGCTCTCACCAAGACATGGGCCAAGTGCTAAGGGCCACCAAGAGCAGTGACTGCACAGCTCAGGTCACATCAGCCAGGTCTCCCTCCTCTGTACTCCAGGGGCCTCACCAGTGCCCCCCAGGGGACAACGCAGAAGGTTCTGGAGACGGTTTTGGTTGTTGCAACTGAAGGACTGATGTAGGGGGACGTGCTACAATGTCTGGTGGGTCAAGGCCAGGGATGCTGCTCGACCTCCCAAAGTGCGCAGAGCGGACCCCACCACGGAGGACGGGTTGTCCCCAAATGTCAACAGTGCCGAGGATGGTAAACCCTGCAGCAGTGACCAAGAAACATTTATTGAGCACCGACAGTGTGCCCTGCACGTCTTTAGACTTCACTGGGGACACAATATTGAACTGATTAGACATGACCCTGATGTTTGCAGTTGAGAGGGAGGATGTGAATATTAAACAGATAATCACAGTAATTGCTGTATATGATAAATCATGCTCAAAGCCATGGGGAAAAGAAGTGAGTTGCTACCAGGGCTTCTAACAGGGCTGGTGACTCAGCATGGGGAAATCAGGGAAGACTTTCCTGAGGAGGTGTCTTCTGAAGTCGG